AAAAATCAAGGTGCAGCATAAACCAGTATTATTCCCTTGAGAAAAGCAGTGGGCTCATTCTTCTTCTCCCTCCCTCTCTTCCTCCACCAGCCAGTTTAGCTTCTTCAGTGCAGAGTTAAATAAAATATTACCCCATCAGGTCAAGAAAATAATTAGTCCTGCATTATTGCCTCCCTCCTCAGCAATCAAACTTGACCCATATGTATTATGCATGGTTGGTACCTTATACCTCAGGAGAGAGAAAAAAGGTGGAACGGAGAGAAAGGAAGATGCATAAAGAATACGTGGCTGGATAACTTGGTCTGAAACACAATGCCTCCAGAGAAAAAGAAAACTATAAAATTCCTCCATTTTCTCTAAGATCGAGATTCAACTTCACTATTTCAATTCTCGTGAGAACAGCACTGGTTTTGCAACTGAAAGTGTGAAAATGAAAACTAAATACAACAAATTACAAGGTATGGGGAAAATGTCTTGTTACCAAAGTAGAGATGATGTAAAAAAGTTTTCTTACTTTCACCTATAGATGTAAAGGTCCACGAAACAAATTAATTTCCCACCCTTTTCCCTTCCAAGAACAGAATGGGTTGGGGATTTCTAGACTTTCACATCTTTACTTCCACATGTGTATATGGAATGGGCCTTCAAGTTGCCTGTTGACGTAGGGTGACCCCATGAATTTCATAGGGTTTTCTTAGGCAAGAAATACTCAGAGGTGGTTTTGCCAGTTCCTTCCTCTGAAATATAGCCTACAGCTCCTGGTATTCATTGGTGGTCTCCCAATGTTTACCTTCAAGATTAGATAGGATCTGGGGACAGAGAAAGGGAGAGTAAGATGGCAGTATGTATGAGCCAGCAAAGATCAAGATCCTACGCTGTACTAGTATTGTGTAAATCTACAGTCAGTTATGGGGTGGGGAAGCAAAGCATTGCTGCCTTTTAAGAATTCTTGAAATTTTTGTTCATTCCCCAAACTTCTAACATTGCAAAGAATGAGAGATTGCAAATTGTTCAAACCTAGAACTCTTACATTTGCTATGTTTCCTTTCCCTTTCTACCTTTACCAGCC